TAGCTGGAGGGTACCGGCCAACCGGAGCCGGAGATAGAGTGCCTCCTCTATCTCGCCGGGGGTCCACAACCACAAAACTGCCTTTTTCAAAGCACATGTATGGATGTGCCCTTTTTAGCTCATTTCTGAACTTGGCCAGCATTGCACCACCTCGCTAGCCAAGGGATGAGACAAGTCCATGCATGTTAAATCTTCCTGGTGTCTCTTTGAGAACACTGGGCGTATGAGAAATCCCGTCGGGGATAAGTCCGGACGTTAAAGATCCTCACGGGTCTCAACACCCATGAGTAAAGATGGGAACATCGGTCCAATTCACATTTAGACTCCGAAGGAAATTTTCTCTTACAATATACTACAACAACGTTCCTATTCCCAAATCCGACTGCGTTGTTACCTTGGGTTCAACCTTGACTCACTCTTAAAGTGGAATCAGCATATACGACTGAAATGACAAGACCTATACAGATTCTACGGTTTAAATTTATAGGACGACAATCGACAATAGGTGAACCTATTCTTTCCGATATCTAATGCCTCCAATCATTTCAATCTAAAGTTTTTAGATTACTTATAAATGCTTCGTATTATGTCTCCAATACTACCGTCCACACCGACCTTAAAATCCCCCAATTATTTACCAAGTTTCACAATAATCTCACCCATCGCTCTATAGTCTCGGCCAAGCCTTGTTCAACAGAACCCATCCCTACAATGCCACAAGACGTCTCAAGAGGAAATGCCCTCGCGACCTGCTTTCTAAGGAGTAGGCAGTGAATTTTATCTAATCAAATGAAATGGGGAAATAATATTGATTATTTGCTCCTCACAATATAAATATGTAAATATATCTATTTTCATGAAATTACATATTGCAACAAAAAATTGCAGATTGTAAAAAAAAAATTGTTGGATTCGTGAGGAGCGGTCAAGAACGAATCCTCATGAATCCAACAAATTATTAAACAACCGGTCACTAAAAAAACCCACATTGTAATAATATGTTGGAAAAAAATGTTTATTAGTATATCTAATGAGAAAACATTCTACTACGGAAATTTTTCAACTAAAGGGGCAACCTCTAATAGAATGCAAATAAATATAAATATAAATAAAATTTGGGCACTCTCAACACGACACGCCAGGATGGCACAATTACACAGAAGACAAACACTTTGAGCACTGAAGATGATCTCAATAAAAGATCGAAACGTTGGCACGTTAAAGAAAATGTTTTTCTGAAACCTACATCACACTCGACCGCATCTCACGATATCTGAATAAATATAAATAAATAAATCCAATGTTTTATTTTCTCTTTTCTTTTTCTTATATTGTCGTTAAGTTTTTGTAATTTAACACAGGGTGTTGGTACAGATTGTCTCTTCTCTGCATTTATTATTTGTTAGATTTTACTGAACAGTAACAACTTAACTTCAATGCCTTGTTATGCTTAGCTACTTATAAAATATTACTAAACTATTTGATACATACAAGTTTTGGTGTAGTAATTTAATGTAGGACGTACATTACTTGATATTGTGTGAACATATGCTGGAATTGCTGGCATTGATGGATTTTTTAACATTGTAAAAAAATTGGGAACTTCGCATTGTTTGACTGCTGAGCATTTTTATATAATTTCTTGATTTATATTTCTATAGATAGCGGTTTGCTAACAGTGTGTATTGGCGTATTTACGATATCTGTCGGGCAGAGAGGATGACCATTAAGAGTGTGTAAGTGTAATGAAGTTTTGGCCTATTAATCAGACAAGTCTTAATCTGCGGAGGTGATCTCGGGTCCCACGGCCGAGTCTCTTCGAATGCCCGCACGCCCAAGCCCAGCTATAATTAAAAGCTATAATACACTTGACGCCTCGACCGACCTATCTCGGCCACCATAAATTCACAGCTGATAAAACCTCGAGCGTACGCCCTCGTCCGTTTAGGCCCTCGTAATATCGACCAATAACACTAAAGGCATATCGAAAGATTTCTTGATTGCTTCCATACCGATCCCTTCCTCGTGCTGTATAGACCTGTGATCATTTCTTAATTTTTTTAATCTCGTATCAGGTTCGCCCATTTTTCATTCCTAAAACCTCTTTTTCTCGTTAGAAATAATTCATACTTTTTTTCTCTCTCTTTCTCTCTCTCTCTTTCACACTAAATCATGCGTATGTTTCCTTAGTTATAGGACCTGCCTTGTTTATAGTAAATAAATACATAAAATGGACGTGCTATATGATTTTAAAAAGGCAGGGTTTAAAATTCAAACTATTTCATCCTGAAAAGATGTTTTATAAAAATCGGATATTGGAGGATATTAAGGAAACCAAGTCTGCAATATAACGTCCTATACCTTCGAAAATATTGCTAAGGGTGGGGGAGAATATTGCAGTACTTTTTGCTCCAGATGTTGCACCTTTTTGACCTAATATGCTTTCCTTCTGGAGTCAGGGCTAATTAGTTATTTAAAATACAAAATTAATCATTGAAATAAAGATTTTATTGATTATTGAATATATTGTAATTAAAACATCACAAAAATCGTTGGAACTATAAAATAATCTAAAAGTTAAAAGACAACATTGTTAAAAAATTATATAAAAAATAATATAATTAAGAATGTTATTAAAATAAAAGAAATGAAACTAAAATAATTTACGAACACTCTAGACCAAGGTATGTTCTTGAAGAAAAAAGCAAATTCAGTTGTTACTGCCAAGTTTTCGACCTATTGCAAGATCATCATCAGGACCTATGTTAGTTTCACATTACGAAAAACATTTCTACAATTGATTTAACAATTGTTTTTCATTATTTCGAAATGTGACTCCGGAAAAGCATAAGAAATTGACTAAATAAGAAAAAACTGACGTAACTCCAAATGTGCCACATTTACTGATCAATGCTAACACCGATGCTTTAAAGGTTGACAAGGAATTAAGGCCAATTTTCGTGAATGGTGACACGTTCGTTACCGCCAAGTCAAAAGTGACACAGTGTTGCCTAGCAGTTAAGAGTCCACCTACAGTTGTCATTTTTCCTGTAGCATCACACACCCGGAAACGTAAAAAAACTAAATAATCCGGTTTTTAGAATTTTTCAACTTGTGTCACTTTTCTCGTGGGTGTGGGATATGTCGGTCGGAAGAATATCATGTTATCCTCAGTTACAATTATTCTTCAGAGGACTTCTGCTTAATTCGGTGTTTCAATGCTGCCGATAGAGAAAATACTCGCTGTCAAATAGACCCAGAAAATATGATATTTGGTTTTTTAAAATATCTTTTACAAGTATGTAACGAATCGCCTGTGAAATTAGAATAGAGATACCTTAATTAGTCGACCGGGAACCACGATGGTCGAGTGGTTAGGGTGTCCACCTCCCATTTGCCACTCTAGCGGTTCTGGGTTCGAAATTCGAATCCCGGCAGAGTCCATGGCTTTTTAATTGATTATTGTAAAAATGAATCGTAAAGTGGTTTGACCACGACACCTAATGTGTTGGTTGATGGACGTTAAACCCTCCTGAATGACAGGAATTACTTTACTTTATTAACCAACTATTTCATTTAACTAAAGGTACCTACTACTTCCTAAACTACTTTCAAGGTATTAATATTGTTCATGAACAATTTTGTAGAATAGTTGTACAGACTTCCAAGCTCCATTTATGACCGGTTGATAATCAAATAAAAAAAGACTGACCGACATAACCAGTATATGCAAAAATTTCATTACTGGCTTGATTCTAATCGCTCTTTTTCTAAATTTAGGACTAGTATTTATGTTGGGTTTCTTGGTCGTTGTCGGCTCGTCAAAAACAGTCCGACGGACAACTCATTTATTCGCTTGAACATATGCTTTACAACATGGTTTACAAGTATGTAACGTGAAATTAGAATAGAGATACCTTAATTAGTCGACCGGGAACCACGATGGTCGTGTGGTTAGGATGTCTCTCCCATTTGCCACTCTAGCGGTTCTGGGTTCGAAACTCGAATCCCGGCAGAGTCCATGGCTTTTTAATTGATTGTTGTAAAAATGAATCGTAAAGGGGAACCTCGTCCATGACACCTAATGGGTAGGTGTTTTGACGTTTTTAGAATTTTTCGACTTGTGTCACTTTTCTTGTGCGATATGTGTATAACTTTTCACGACATAGTATGACAGTATGTCGTGGGCTTGGTTTTCGTAACCGCCAGGCACTCGTAATTGGTGATAATCGAGTGTAAACTCGAATGTCTGTCGTATCTCGTGAAGGGCGATGGAAGTCGATAATGGCTCTTCGGGCGTGATGTGTTTATAAACCTTGTTTACGGGTGTGCGCGTGCTCCAGAAACGTGTAATGCAATAAGTTTAATCTTAGTTATTTGAGTAATTCATCCCAACTTGTAGGACGTTCTGAACCAGAACCCTCTAATAACGACGCGTTCCCAGAGCATTTCATTTTAATACATGTAATACATATAATATAACATGTAATATACAAATGTAACTTGATATCTCAAATAAAAAATGAATAAATAAATAACTAATTAAGAAAAAATGGCGTTTACCAATAACAAATTCTTCATCAAACTTGCTTCATTGCTCCGTGGTTGAGATGCAAAGTATTATAAACATAATATGTATTAGAAAAAAAATTGATTAAAATGATCATTAGAAGGGTTGTTGTTTTCCAGCATGATCATACTTGATCTTTTTTTACGAGCGTTTGTATCAACAGAGGTCCTATCAACCCTCGAGTTGTCGGTGTTTCTGAAAAAAAGAAGCCTATTTGTATGTTGAATTCGAATGCATACTCAGTTATTTGCTAGAAATCTAGCCCTGGGCGATTTTTATTTTAGATCTTCTCTTTTGGTATATTACTTAATATTATAACATACTTCTATCATTGATGAAAATAATTTGGCTACTTGAGATCTGTTGTAACACATTTGTTTTTGTCTCTTTTTAAATATTTTTTTATTTGTTCAACATTTGTACCTGCATCTAGAGATGCAACAAAACATGATATATTATTTAACAAACGTAAACAGTGAAAAAAATCATATAGACATACTTGTGAGGGGTAGTAGCTGAATTGAATAGGCAAAACTCCTTAAAAGACGTTATTTTCACAAAACAAGAAAAATACTGAGCTTTTTAGTCTTCAAGAGACTCCCTAACCGTCGTAGTCGTTAGAACCCTTCATCCTTTCCTTCTCAGGAAGGCATACCGACTGGTGGCGCCCTGTTCCGACGACTCGGTCATCCCGGAAAGCCATTCGCCCAGAATGGCACATCACTCGCAGACTTCGTCGAAGGCGATCCACCTCTTGGCGTTGGAAGACGATGTGTTTTGTCCCTCCGAACCTGCAATTTTGTTCACATTGTATCGATCATGTGGCCTACAAGCAGTTATTTTGTAGCGTCCAAGGAATTTCGTTATTATCTATGACTATGGTTTAAACTGTCTTTTTGATAACCACTCCAACAGCCTATTTCGTAGGGATTTTCTTACTTTTAGAAAAGGTTCGTCTTTGATCTGAAGAATTTGGAGTTTGGCTTCTTGCCGTTCAGAACCAGAATTGGTTTAATGAGAATTTTCTCTAAAGGTGGCCATTCACGATCACTCCATATGGAACCGCGCCAAGCCGTACAGCTCCATTTGGAGTGCCTGAAATTTGAGGGGGCATTCACGACCGCTCCACAGCCAGTCGCTACGAACGTCAACCAGTGGATTACCTTCTCAAAATGGATGACGATCTCTTGTGCTACTCTTCTGTTTATTTACATATTAAAAGCAAAAATTCGAAGAGGAAATGGTGTAAGAAGTGGCTCCTGAACAAAAGCCATAATACCCACATCAGTTTGATGAAAGATCTTTCCCTTGAACCCGCTGATGAGAGGAACTATTTAAGGATGGATGAAAAGTCTTATTTATTCATTATATTTAGTGTTCTATTGACCAAATTACTTCTTTCAATTATTTAATCTTTGTTGTAAGGTTTTGGTTGAAATGAAAAAGCTAGTGCCAAGAGGGGGGGGGGTCTGAATCCACGGCCTTCGGCTAAATACGCCGCTGCTCTACCACTTGAGCTGTCGTGACTTCGATCCTCTCCGACACCAAAAAATGGCAAAAAGAGAGAAAATTCTGAAGGTTGTAGGTTGAGATGGGGAGTTGGTGCCCGAGTGGATCGAACTATCGAAGTCAGGATAGCTCAAGTGGTGAGCGCTGCGGCGCATTTAGCCGAATGTCGTGTATTCGAATCCCCTCGTGACACTATTTTTTCATTTCAACCAAAACCTTACAAAAAAATAACTATTAACGTCTTATTTATATTTACTCCAGCTTGTTACCCCCTTGATTAGAAAACAAAAGACAGTGATGAGAGAAATCATCACTACATGAAAGGTTGGCAACCACATTACGATTTCTCGCTACAGGGATGAACTACAAAGAACTGAAGACCGGATGTCATTACCAGTAAGGAATAAACGTTTTTGACTTTTTGAGAATGTACGACGGAGATGTTTGCTCAGTGACAGAAAGACGGAGACTGCGTCAAAAAACGAGCGTTTTCCCATTCACGACCATGCCAGCGCGCCAAAATCCCCACCCTCACGCCAGGTTTTCCCATTCACGATCGCGTCATGCCGTCGTCGCGCCGTAGATATTTGGAGTTTCGCGATTGAGTTTGGACCGGTCGAATATTCGGCACAGCCGGCCACGCCAGTTCAGTTTTGCCATTGAGGTGGTTTTTGGAACGGCGTCGCTCCGTTTGGACTGCTAGGAGCGATCGTGAATGGCCACCTTAAGGCACAGCCGGTTCAGTTTTGCCATTGACGTGGTTTTTGGAACGGCGTCGCTCCGTTTGGACTGCTAGGAGCGATCGTGAATGGCCACCTAGACTTCATTGGCATCATTTGGAGTGATAGGCTTCGGAGGAGGGTATAAGGGTAAAGGTTCGTCTAAAATAGAGTTTGAGGTCCGAGTGTGGAGTGAAGACAGTGGCAAGTTAATTTTAATTAATTAATATGCTTTGTTACTCAATGCACCATGTGTTAAAAAGGTTCCGATCTATTGAAATCCAACTACTTGTTCTGCTTCTATATTTCATTTTAACCGTCTTTGTAGTTACAATTTTTTGCAAGTTGCATTCTTCAGTACCTCCATCTAGAACAAAAGAATATACATATTTGTACTTATTTTACATAATTTTCATGTAGTATGTAGTGTAATTAAAATTTTTCCTTCAATCTACTTCGTGTACAGTTATTCTTTAGGTGTAGTGAGTTGGCAACCCCACACGAGACGGGAGCAAAGCCCGAATAGCATTTTTTTTTTCTGCCAAACTCAACGGTAGTGTACACGCTATCATTATGTAAATTGGAAGTCGATACCCAGCGGACGAAATCCACCTTGTATCCTGTTTCTCGTAGGTACTAAAATGGCATTTCCTCTGATCCTCATATCTGATGTAGTGACTTTGGGATTTACAACAGGGTCCAGTTTTTATTTGACAACCGTTAGTTACATGGCCGGAATTCATCGCCGATCTCTATTAATTACATCAAGTCGTGGTTTACGGTAAACATTGTTGTGTGGTCTAATTAGTGGCTGGGATCTAAATGCGATCACTTGGATGATAATATTCTCGTGCACATTCCAAACTACTTAAACAATAATTGAATAATTTCTCTGGCTTTGGGAAACATCGTGACTCCGGACCCTTGTCAATATCTGTCATTTTTTTATTAGGTCAACTATCTGATCGCACTGGATTGCGACAGCAACGGAAATGACCCGTACTGGACTGGTTATGACCGAATTCGATATATACGATGATTTTCGGACATGAGTAAATATCTTGTATTTGTAATATTGTATCAGTCGGAATTCTTACATAATTGAATTGGTTTTTATTTCCTTTGTAAACACGATATTCCTCCCATGCTCACGTTATTCCTGCATTAATTTTTCCATCCAATCGTCTGGCCGATTAATAGTTTTTGATAATCGTTCAGTGATACGTTTAAAATTAGTAAATATCATATAAAACGCTGTTCCCTTGATTAGGGCCGTGTTCCTATCCAGATAGGATTCATGAATTTTTTAAAGCCCGACATTGCACATTATTCAAACCGGGTAAAATTGTTTATGAATCGACCGTGGGCTCTAAAGAGGAATTTACGTCTAATAACACAGTTTATAGGTCATTTCGATGAACACGTGGTGGGGTGTAATTACTTCGGTCTCCTATAAAAAAAAAAGCAAAATTAATAAAGCCTTCGTATCTAGCGCGTTATTGAAACAAAACTATGAAGCAACACCTCGAGATAGTTCAGTATTCGCGCGAATGTTATCGTCGTGAGAAATCGGAAAATCCTTGAAAAACTCCTCCTTAAAAGGCTAATCCCTATTCTTAAGGATGCAAAAGCCTTATCGTCCTATCAATTTGGGTTCCTCTCACTTCACTCCACTGTGCGTGTGGTAGATACTATTTCTGTTGAGCGAAATGCTCGGTTGTCTTTCTAGAAGTAGCCAAGGCATTCGACCTTGATTTACTGTGGAAACTCAAGAAGATTATTCCCAGTTCCTTTTAACTTATACCAGATCCTACCTGATACACCGATATGTGTCTGCCAAGGAATATGCCTTTCCTTTTATATTCCGGTGAAATCTGGAATCAGTCCTCCATGGAAGTATCCTTTGGCCGATCCTCATTACCATATACATTGATGACAGTCCTAGTCCCTAAACACAGTTAGCCTATCCTCTCTTCTCACTCCAATCCATCCGTTGTAAGCTCCTATCTGCAAAGTCACCTATTTGAAGACTGGTTTCGCAAATGGAGAACCAAAGCAAACGAAAGCTAAGAGAGTCACTTTGACCTCCATTACGACTGAATGACATACCAATACTGACTGCTGACTTAGTACGATACTGTACATTAATAATCCACATCCTGGATCGGAATCCACGTAATCGCCTGAAACAAGACGTGAACCGTTACAAACTGCTGAGTCTACTGGACCACTGATCTCACCTAAACTTACACCTAAACCTCAACCAACTGACCATTTACAAACCTCTCATTCGTCCGATGTGGTCGCAGTGGAAGTTTGGGGCTCAACCAAATATTCATCCCGTATTCAGTCTCTCCAATCCTAACTCCTAAGAAAAATCCTTAACCCTTCCTTCTTCGTATCTAATAAAACCATTCACACTGGCCTCCGTACTCGTTCACGACCTTGTAAGAACAAATCAGAAATTTCACAACATCCGTTCTGTATACCTACACTTCCTCATGTAAGAATTTTCCCCACTAACCCTGCCTAGAAATGGAATGAATTACCTAATTTATTTATTTTGGTATAAGGTTCCTTTTGCCATGTAAAAACCCTTGGTAAAAATATATTTATTCTTAATGATCCTTGTACAAGATAATGGCTTGCATTCTTGATATCTAGTTTTTAAAGTTTAATTTATTGATTTAAGCAATAATATTAATTAATATTCCTAGGGTTGGTAAATTTGATAATTTGTGATAAATGGAAAGTACGAAGTTCCAAAATGAACGATTTCCGAACTAGCAGTTGAGCATTTATAAGTGAGGAGTACACCTTTCGTCAATCTAAGAAGTTTATGGTTTTTTTTCATTCCGTTTTAATCATAAAATTTAAGTATGCGTGGTATTGTTATTACCATGAGCCATACTTTTGCATTTATTTTTTATTTACAGTTACCTAATATTAGATGCTTACTAACAGCGACAAGAAACTCCTTGTTAACATCAGCCAATTTATTACGTTACACAGAGAATTAAAAAAAACCAAAGAATAACGAAGTTTTTAATTAGCTAATTTGGTTGAAATTTGTACCATGGAATGAGAAACGGGTGTAAATAGTAAGACTTGCATGAACGTTGCTATGATTTTTAGTTTTTTTTGCGGACTTGCTTTGAGATATTTTAAACAAAATCAGAGAGGTAGTGATGCTTGACCGCTAAATGCTTTAATGATACAGTCCGTCTTTTCCGAAGTATCTACTCCTATTAAAGTGTGATGAGATCTTTTGTAAGAGAATTAGCAAAAAAAAAAAAAAAAAGAAGGTATGGGGCGGTTATGTTTGTTGTGACGAGTGTTCCCATGACTTGAATCTGGTTGACCCCATCGCTGGTAACCATCTCACTATTTATATAGTGGGCTGTGATTCATCTATAGAGGCGGTCCGCCATAATAACAACCCTTGGGATCAATTAGTCACTCACACCGATCCCTATTAGATGTAATACCCGCTCCGACACTGTTCACAAAATTACAAACCATCTATAATCACCTACGTGCCTTGCACACTCCCCTTGCTGTGAGGGGGAGGGAGCCGGTCGTAATATCGGCGTGTTATATGTACTTTAAATGGGCAGTATCGACCCAAGATTGTTTTTTATAGAGGAAAGACTAGGAAAGATCCTCCATAAACACGCCACCCATTAATTCGCCATTAATCCATTGGATAAAAGCGCAGACGCTAGAAAATGAACGTTGCTTTAATAATACACTATTGGTTCCTCGAAACTATTTTTCCAAAGTACTAACGTAACTTAATCGTTCGTAATTTTGATGAAGCCAAATCGTGCTTGATAATTCTTGCTTCGAACAAATATTATAAAATCGTATATGTTTAGTTTTTGCATTATTGAAAAACAACTTTTACACAACAGTGCCTTTCCGTCCACTGTATTTTCTCAAATATAGATAGATATACAGATACTTTTAGAGATAGATATTTCCAATAATGTATATTTAAAACAGGTCGTGGGTTCGAATCCCGCTCGAGACAGTAACTGTTTGATTACAACCAAAACCTTACATTAAAAAAAAGTTTTAGTGGTCAATTGACCAAGTTACTTCTTTCAATTAATTATTCTTTTTATGTAAGGTTTTTGGTTGAGATAATAAATTCTGTATTTTTTTTTAGTCTGTTTGGTTTTTTTATCTCAACCGAACACCTTACATAAAAAAGAATAATTAAATGAAGTCGTTGTCAAGGTTGTCAATTACGGAATATACATAAAACATACATAACAAATTATTATTTTTTATGTAAGGTTTTTGGTTAAGATAAAAAACCAAACAGACAAAAAATCCAAAAACTGCAGTATTTTTTATTTCAACCAAAAAACTTAAATAAAAAAGATTAATTAATTGAAAGAAGTTATTTGGTCAATAAACCACTAAAAATAATGGATTTAATAAGTAAAACGATGTGTAACTTCACTAACAGCTCCCGTGGCCACTTCACATGTCACCGAGAATCGAATCCTGATTACACATTTGAAAAATGGCAAAAAGAGGGGAAATTCGAAAGATTGTAGGTTAAGATGGGGAGTTGGTGTCCGAGTGGATCGAAGTCACCATAGCTCAAGTGGTTAGAACAAGGCGTATTGAGCCGAAAGTCGTGGGTTCGAATCCCACTCGTGCCAATAACTTTTTCATTTCAACCAAAACCTTATATAAAAAAAAAATTAATTAATTGAATGAAGTAATTTGGTCAATAGTCCACAAAATATATATTTAAAACGTCAAAAAATAAACAAAGTATATACTCGAATAAATTGTATGCAGGAAGTTGTTGCAAAAGAAAAGAAAAAGAAGAAATAGAGAAAAAATAGAATTCAATTGTATTATATCGTCTCTGGAGAATAAGGTAGATGCTGAAGAACTTCGTAGCCAAGCTATTTCCATTTGTTTACAGTATGTTTTGAAAGATGAGGCCTATCGTTGTCGTGGAGGAGTATAGGTCCTTTCCGATTTACCAATGCAGGTTGTTTATTGGGTAATTTTTTATGCATTTCGTCAATTTCCTTGCAGTACGATGCAGAGGTAATGGTCCCACTCTAGGCAAAAAGGAGTAGTGAATAATTCCACCCATGGACCACCATACGGTCACCATCAATTTTTTTGGGTGTCAATTTGGTTTTCGCATGTGTCCTGGTCTTTCGTCGATGTTGACCACTGCCCTGACCGACGTTGATTGTCATATGCAATCCATTTTTCATCTCAAGAGATCATTCTTTCAAGAAAAGGCTCGGTTCTTTTGCCTGACGAACAAGGAAACGCGCTCAATGCGCTTTAACTGCTGTAGTTTAGTGACTCATGAGGGACCCATCAAGCTTTTTGATTTTTCCTATGTTCCTTAATTGTCTTGACACGGCCGCACTGGCATTTAGTCGTACTGGGAGTCCTCTGACCGTTTGATATTGGTTTTCTTCACCTGAAGCTTAAGGAAATCGTTGTCAATTAAAGTTGCAGGTCTTCCGCGGGGCTCGTTTTCCAATTCGGTATTCCCTTCCGAAAATTGGGCAAACCAACAGCGAATGGTCCGTTCATTTACACTCCATTCCACAAACGCCTTACTGATGTTTCTCGTAGCCTCAGCTGCCGAATGACCGAGTTTAAACTCGTAAAGGAATATTACACGAAAATCGCGTTTCCTTAATTTAATTAGAATGTAAACAATTGGAAGTAAACAAAAGAAAACCGCTATATACGCTCTGAATTTTTGAAACTATAAAATCAGGCATTTCATGTAAAACAACCCAATATTTCTTAATTTTAGATGTGGTAATATGACTTACTGTACTGGTATGGGAGGGGTCACCTCCCTGTTAAGCGTTAAAAATAAATAAATTAATCAATTAAGTAGATAGAACTAATATAGACTGGAAGTGTTGGATTGTGGATAAACGTAGTATCTAAGGAAAACATCACGATACGAGTACGTATTTTTAAGAGGGATAGCATGCCAACAGTCGGTTTGTAGATGTAAGTCTTAAATAAAAATGGAAGACGGGTAAAAGAATGAATGAGATGAAAGGTCGAAGATAATATATCTGTATCAATGTGGGTGGGAGAGGAATTTTAATGAATGTATTTGGCGGATGGCAAGTATCTATAAATCCATATAGCGCCGGCGCCGTTCGCCGTTCTCCCCGTCCAACCGAGAACCGAAGAGGGCTTCGACGGTGTACAAAGCCGCCGACAAACAACCGCCGCTTAATAACAATAATTATTAATGAAATCGCTCCCTAAACAAATTAATAGGATCTCATCCGTTTTCCCAGGCCCGAGCGGGGGCATATATCATTCTTTAATCACTCCGGTATTTTATTACATTCCTCCTCGGGCTCGTGGTTCAATCCCTTCACGGAACTCAAGCCAGCGGTTTTTTTCTTTCACGTAATTAAAACGAGATTAATGCATTTTTTACATCATTTATTCATAATTAAGTTTGGTCCCAAATTACTGTCACAACAGAATCCAATTTAGGTTACCATCTTTTTGCAGTATATTTCCCAATTCCGTAAGATCTCTAATTTTCTCAAAAAATATCAAAACGTTTACGTCGTATTCAAGTTAAAAGTACAACTTTTCCAGCACAGCGACGAATGGTAAAGGCGGCATTGTGGTGCTTGGAGCAAAGAGAGGGTGGGAGATAGATAGATAGATGGAGAGTGATAGAGTAAGAGAGAAGGAGGGAGAGAGAGAGAGAGAGAGAGAGAGAGAGAGAGAGAGGGGGTGAAAGAGAGTGTGCAGGCAAAGATTTAAGTAAATGGGGAGAGGCAGTGAGAGAGGGGAGAGAAAGAGTGAGGGGGACAGAGTGAGAAAGGGAGACGGTGAGAGCCTGGAGAGAGTGAGAGAGGGGAGCGAGAGGGGGGAGAGAAAGAGTGAGGGAGTCAGAGTGAGCGTGGAGAGTGTGGGAAAGGGTGAGGGTGAGAGAGGAGAGTGGAGAGAGAGAGAGAGTAAGAGAGAGTGGGGGTGAGTGTGTGAGAGAGAGAGAGGGAGAGGCAGAGAGAGCGTGGAGAGAGTGAGAGAGAAAGAGACTATATACACATTTTACATCACTGACCTTACTGAGGATCGGTTGGGTACTCAATATTCCGCCTTATAGACCGTCACTTCCAAACTGTCCAAAACGCTTCTTTCTCTGCCATATACCCGATTCCACAAGGGAGCATTCTCGCTCCCCTCCTCTGCACAATGTACACGGCTGATCTACCAACTCACCCTAACACTTTCATTTTTACCTTTACCGATGACACATCAATACTCACCTCCTATAAAGACCCCGTTACTGCATCGCGTAATTTACAAAATGACTTACGCACACCCGAATCCTGGTACCGCCAATGGAGAATCGTAAATCTAAATACATTGTTTTCACTCTTTAAAAAAATCTATTAATAACTATTTTGGTTTTAAAGCACAAATTTTACCTTAACATATGTATAAAGTATCGACCTCACACACTACATACAGTTTTGTACCTTACAGTTTAGAACCGTTTTGTGAAAGGACTAGATCTACGCCCTTTTATCGATTATTTCAGCCAAAATGATAAAGTATTTTGAGTCAGAGAAGAAATGTGTTTACGATATAGTACATATTATTTTTTCGTGAGAACGGTTTCCTTACTTTTAATTTACGGCTACAATTGCTAAAAACCAGTCAATTCGATTATGAGAAATTTAATGTAGGATCGTCCTTCGAATTTGTTTGTTTTTTATTTATATTCATAACTACGCAGTGGAGCTGTCAGTAGTACCGTGAAAGTATTTAATTCGTTTTTACTCTTCATGCAGGTGGGCGTTTCTGTTCTTTCTCCCCTTGCATCGAGCAGGTTCAAAGGACTTGCACAGCCCTGACTGATGCCGGCTACACCGAAATTCGCACTCTTGAGTGCATCCAGAGGGAGATAGCAGTCAACCGGAGGAATCTTCCCGTCCTCAGCCTTGATAAGGTAAGAAGTATATTTCATTGTATTTGTTGTACCTTTAAGGCGTCTAACTGAATTAATAATCAATGCTACATGAAAACTGTCCTTATTCAAAACAAGATGAAAATGTTTGGTGCTTACACGTTAAATCAGTTAACGTCAAAATATCTTAATATAAGAAAGTATCTGTACTAGGTTTAAATCTTTCACCAGAAAGAAGAGGTAAGGCAGTGAAAGGTATGAATAATTTATAACCAGACAAGAGCGAGTTTAAATGAATTGAATCTAAATTTAAACAGAGAGATCGCATTTCGCGAAAAAATAAGTCGAGATCAACTTGATATTTTGGAACCACACGTACGATTTAAAAAAAGTTGCTTGTTTATTTTAATTATTTTTTTAATGGCTTTGTTTCTCAATATTAGCCAGAGATAATAAGTGGAAAACAACTTAAAAATGGAAAGACCTAAAGTACCTCAGTGTTAAAATTTAGACAGTTGTGCTACCAACTCCATGTACCTTTTTGAACTGAATCGAACGAAAAAGTGTCGAGTCAGTATGACCATTTGGGCCCCGCTTCATGATGGAATACAAACTAATACTATTAGTGTAATAGCTTGTAATTTGTACAATTTTGTTTCAAAATAAAAACGTACACATCCGTCAGGCAAAATGTCTTCAAATAGTGTTAACTTTATTGGACTTTCATTCCGAAGGGTTGTCACTCACCGTTGTGCTGACCCTAGGGGGTCAATATCTTAGGGGAGTTCACCTTCCCCGTTATGCGACTGGGTCACTAGTATCTCATCTTCAGTAAGCCAGATGCTCGGGAGATTGTCTCTTCCTAACCAACGTGGGCTTTCGACAGCCCCCAATAATGCAATCGCACTAATAAATACATTCACACCTAATGTACATGGCACTCATTCTGATTAGCCGGTTGAGTACTCGATATTCCTCCATCTACCAGCCGTTGAAAGTCGTTAAATATAACGGTGATCTTGAAATAATATAAACAATGATCCCTCTAAAGTTTCAATTCAGCAATATGTATCTTAGGAATGATTTTTCGTTGGGCTACATTGGCAGCTGTTTATTATCATGTAAATGATATTGCAAACCAAAGTTAGGACAAGAAACTTTCTAATTCCCATTAAAAACTTGCAAACTTGTTTAGAAAATATTTTTTTCCACTTTTGCTTCACTATGCGACGGTGGGATTTGAACCCACGACCGCGGAGTCCTCGAGCCGAGAGTACATGCTGACCATTCGGCTACCGCGGTCCCCATTTTTAATTTATTCTATGATAAAATAATTGTAATAAAATAATTATTCAGAAATCGTAAGATGCGGTCTGGTGTGATGTAGGTTTCAGAAAAACATTTTCTTTATCGTGCCAACGTTTCGATCTTTATTGAGATCTCTTCAGGGCCTGGGATTTACAAACATTGTTTAAATTTAACAAAATAAATAAAGTAATAAATAAATAAATTATTTTTTTAGTATCTCACTAGACATAATCATTAGCTGGGAGAGAGCACATAAAATACTAGGCGAATTTCGAGTGGACTTCAGAAAATACTAAATGCTCTATAGTTGACAATGTTGCCACGCTTATGAGTTGGATTAAAATTTAATATGAGTATTCAGAAATCGTGAGATGGGTCTGGTGTGATGTAGGTTTCAGAAAAACATTTTTGTTTATCGTGCCAACGTTGCACTCTCAACACGGCACGCAAGAATGGCACACTTACGCAGAAAACAAACACTTTGAGCCCTGAAGATGATCTCAATAAAGATCGAAACGTTGGCACTGTAAAGAAAATGTTTTTCTGAAACCTACATCGCACCAGACCGCATCTCACGATTTCTGAATAATCATCGACTAACGGTCACTAATCACCACACACTCTAATAGAGTGTTAAGAGAGAAAAAAGTTTACTTGAAAAAAAAAATTGAGGGAGAAATTTTTAAAAAAATTATTTATAATATTTTTGGAGCCGTTATTTTTTTCTCATTTGTCGTATTATTTGTGTGTGTGTGTGCGTGCGTGCGTGTGTGCGTGTGTGTGGTGTTAGTGACCGTTAGTCAATGATTATTCGGAGATCGTGAGATGCGGTCTGGTGTGATGTAGGTTTCAGAAAAACATTTTCTTTATCGTACCAACGTTTCGATCTTTATTGAGATCATCTTCAGGGCTCAAAATGTTTGTTTTCTGGTAGATGTGTCATTCTTGTGTCGTGTTGTCATTCTTGTGGTTTTTTTAAACCTTTAAAACTTGGAATAGAAACCTTAATAGAATTTAGATTAAATCAAATCTTTCAACCGATACACAAATATGATTTTTTTTATGTCCTCGAGTGTACATTAACAAATGGGCTTTTGTTCTTTCCATTGTTCATGTGGGTAGTTATTAATGACCATATCAGTGAAGCATCAACGCACCGTTTAACACTCCTAATAGATTATGAATTATCTGGTAGAGTGTGTACAACAACGGTGGGAAAACATTGAAATAATTTCACCTCCCATGCATTCTATCCATAAATTCCTCGTTCTGAGGATTGAGTAAACACAGAGGGTAGAAATAATCGCAATTTCAACGTTACAAAAATTATATCAGGTAGGGCTCATTTTTACGAAAACGCCCACGGAAATTTTTACTGAAATAATCTAAGTTTTACGGCTGATTTTGTACTCCTCACATGTCAATACTTGGCCTACAAAATATGATGTAAAATTTCTTTTAAAAAGTTCTGTCCGGGAAGGATAGTTTTGGTCACTGAAATGACAATTAAAGCCAAGTAGAAATCTAAGAAGACAAATCTATGTTGTATTAGTAAATAAAGACATGAGGGATATCACCGTGATTTATGCATTTTGGCATTAGCTTTATCAATCCTATGGAAATATATACCTGTTAATTCTTTTAAAGAGGATTTGGTTACATTTTGACTAGGCACATTCTTGAATGGAATTGTTTTTTGAAGGATATACCAGTGTATTAAGAAAATAATTTATGGAATAGAATTCATGCCTATTCTTCTTTTCTATTTTTTCTTTTCTCTTCATGTTTTTCTAATGCAAGTAAATTATTAGCTAGAATGAAATGGACAAGTTAAAAAAAAAAGAAAAGTGCAATAACGATTGTTAACATAAATGTGTATATTATTATAAATTATATTGTATATAAAATAAATAATATCTGTATTTCCTTTTGCATTTTTTAATATTTGTTATACTTTTTGTATTAATTATGTGGTTTTTTCACCACAGGTTCAGCGTACCAAGATTGGAATATACATTTTATTTTTATTAAAAAAAAAACACGATTTTATAGATTAATATATGTATCTCTTACACACTTTAGAATTGGATATGGTATTTTTACTACGCTCTGGGGGTCTATGAAAAACGAAAAGGCCATACTGACAAGACTACGCATAGGACACACAAGAATAACACATGGGCACTTCTAGGCAGGAAAATCATCTCATAGGTGCCCGTTATGCAAGAATAAAATAACAATGGGGCATATTTTCAATTGCAAAAGGCTTAACGTTTCTAGGCAATTTTGATGTGTTGTCAGATCTGTGCGTGTTTTTGGGGCACGACTGCTCTGGTTCCTCAGGATTATAGAAATTTTTAAATGTATATAGTTATTCAGAAATCGTGAGATGCGGTCGGGTGTGATGTAGGTTTCAGAAAAACATTTTCTTTATCGTGCCAACGTTTCGATCTTTATTGAGATCATCTTTAGGGCCTGGGATTTACAAACATNGGTCTTTAGTAATAATGTATAGAATAATTTTAAAAAAAATAATGGTAACATTTATTTAGAAATCGTGAGATGCGGTCTGGTGTGATGTAGGTTTCAGAAAAACATTTTCTTTATCGTGCCAACGTTTCGATCTTTATTGAGATCATCTTCAGGGCTCAAAGTGTTTGTCTTCTGTGTAATTGTGCCATTCTTGCGTGTCGTGTTGAGATAATATGTATATAGTGTTTATGTGTGTGTTGTATACACGTTAATTTATTGAAATGAATATAATTAATTGGTCAAGCGGACCACGAAAACTAGTGAATTTAATAATTTATTAGCGTGAAAGGAATGGGTTATTTAACGGCGCCTCAAGGATTATCGAGTATTCTGGGGTGAGTGTGTGACGTCTTTAGGGTAAAACTAAGATTTTTTTTTTTACGAGGGTTCTCAACAGCAGAAGTTATATCAACCATCGGGGTGCCGGTGTTTTTGAAAAAAAAAATTAAGTATGTCGGGTTCGAATGCAGGGCCGCTGGATTCGAACCCGGGACCTTTACCTTACAGTGATGAGCGTCGTGTCAACGCCTAAATCGTTGCGGCCACCGATGCCCCTTTAAATTAAGTTATTAGCATGAATGGAGTGAATGTGACCAGACGTGTATGTTTTTACCGGGTGTTGTGTTATGTGAACTTATTGGAATGAATTTAATTTATTAGGGTGAAAGGAATGGGTTGTTTAACCCCTTTCCGAGGAATATACAGTACTCTTGGGAGAGTGAGTGACGTCTGGCTGCAGTTTAAACTTCAGCTCTTCCTCGGCCCATAAACCTCCCACTTTATATAATAATGTGATAATTTTCTAAATTTTTCCCATAGTCAGTTTTTAAAAAGGTAGATTTTTATTTACTTTTTCGAAAGAGCATTGTTCTAAAATGGAAAAAAAATCATGTTCCCTTTCTGAAACATTAATTCTCCCCCAAAAATGTGATTTGCAATTTACTTAGGAAATTTTATGATTTTAATTTTCTACTATTCTGTAAAGGAGTGCAAAGATTATTGTAAATTGTTGATTAAGCGTCAAAAGTGATGTGATAGCAGTGACATATTTTCACCAAAAGCCCAAAGAAATTTAACCAGACATAATCGAAGGAATCTAAAGAAAAGTCAACAATTTCTTGAATCATAGATGATAAAATACTCATGATAAAAAGTAACCTTAAACATGTAAAGGCAAAATAATAAATAAAACACTTGAGAATCCTTCTGGTTCTTCTTTGTTCGTAGAAAATTTGAAATTTATCAATCAATGGCCGGTTTTTTGTTTGACGATATTATATGCTTCACATGTACTAATTTTGATAGAAAAAGGCTATTTTTATGAACATGCAATAGAAGAAAATTCTATTCGCAGAATTATTACTAAAGGTGTAATGTTACAGCTTACATACTAGTCTAATGCCTTTGCTTTAAAAAAAAAGTCAGTGGTAATAATAGACATAATGATTCTGACGGTCTTTCTTCTGACATCCGCATTCTACAATGTGTTGAAGACGTTATCGCATCCTCCTTTGAGAAAAACTTTATTGCCCGGCTGACTTTCTCAACGTTCCTCGAGTCTGGGCATGCTGGGATGCTGTGTAAACTCTCAAGCATTCTCCGTACAACCTACACCTTATCGTACAGACCTACCTAGGCCACCGTTACTTCTGGGTAACATACGGTTCTTCCCATTCGCCCATCCATTCTATCCGTGCAGGAGTCCCCCAAGGTGGTATTCTTGGTCCAATCCTTTACGTAAATTCTGCTGACGTACATAATCATCCAAATGGATGTTGGAAAAAGAGTCTTGTTCACATTTGGAGATGACACTGCGATCTTTTCCACTCAATGATTCTGACCTTGCCGTTCGATCCCCTACCGCCTTTCTTTACCATCCTTGAACCTCGGCTAAAGAAGGGGAAAATAAAAATAAATGAAAATAAATGCCAGTACATCAATTTCACATTACGGCGAGCAATCCATCCTCCTGTATTCTCAACTGTGTTCCTCAACCCACGACAAAACTGTGTTCACTATTTAGGTCTCGACAAACGACTCAACATATTAGACAAACTCAGAGAGACGATCCAAACTATCCCTTAACAATAAAACCCTAATGTACAACATTGTGTAACATTTAGTGGCCGTTAAGTAATGATAATGTAGAGACTGAGATCCAGCTTGGTGTAGTGCAGTCTAGTAAAACAACGGACGGTTTTGGACTGTAAGATTGGATCCGATAGAAGTTGAATACTTTAGCTGAGACCGATAGTAAGTACCATATAGTAAGTCCAAAGTAATGTGTTGTAGTCTAGAGATCATGAGATGCGTTCTCTTGTGGTGTTTACATTACCCAAACCATGGACTTACTATGTGGAAATGTGGGTCTCAACCAAAGTATCCAACTCCTGTCGGAAAAAATCTTTCCAGTCCAAAACCCTTCGTTGAATTACTGAAAAGCTTCTTCTATATGTCTAATGGTACGTTTCACCATGACCTCAACATCCCTTACGTTTCCCACGCCATCAAATCAAGATACAAAAAATTCTACTGATCACTCACCGATCATCAAATTCCTCAGTAATCCAACTTTCGTCTATTTCCCGAAGCTCCACATAGCCACCTGAAACACAGATGGTCTCGTGATCTCAACTCGAGTGATGCGAGTGCCAAATGTCCTTACTATATCAGAGTGTCTCTACTGAGTGGCTTTTCCGCTCCGGACAATACAATTATCCTTTACATCCATATTTCTTGTAGTTATTTCTGCAGTTCTAAAGTCAAAATAAAAGGAAAAAACAACACTTGTATTGTTAATATTACACAGTTTATAATTTCTGATGGGTTTAAAAAAGAAAGTAGATCCAGGCTGATGGTAATAAACAATAAAACCTGGGTAGACGATATAGCGGACAGATTGGCGGATATATGTAAAACTTTTTGGAGCCGGGATTGTATTGTCCCCGCCCCTATTGTTCACATTAAGACGGTATATCATTCCCGTCAAAGCACGGTATGCAACTTACTTTTAAGAACGCCGATTTTCATGCATGTGAAAAATAAACAAAATTTGTATTTTCTCCCTCTTCTTTATTAACTTTAAACGTGAAACCCGGAATTCTCATACCTCCTCATGCGTACTGCACGGGATTCCACAATAAGCAAACACAACTTACTTTATATGTTTTATAATTAATTAGATTGAATAGCACGGAGATAATTGTCGAGGATAATTTCCTTGGAGCGGATATTTCGGAGCCGATCATTTTTACCTAAGCTGTTGGCAGGCTATCAATTATGGCCAGTAAACCAGTCGTTATGCTCACACCCATTGTTTATGGGCAGATTAATAGACAGTCGTTAGCCGTTAACAGTGCCCAGTTGATCAAATAACAACCATTTATTAATGTTCATAAAAGTATCGTTTGTAGGCCGGTACAAAGTTTGTTTATTGAATTGAAATAATTCAATAAATTTAAAACTGCCGTTTGTAGATTCTCTTCTAGTTCGAATCAACCGTTTGTTTTGTTTAATATTCATTATTTTGTAATTTGGTTTGGTTTTAATGGTATTCTCCATACCTTATCACGGGGAAATCAAAATTTCTGAATGTCGTCACTTTTGTATTTAAAAAAAGTCAATTAATGTCAAGTAATTACAAATGTTCCCTTTATTCGCAAGGTCGACGGTATATTAGATTTTTTTGCACAACTAGATTAAATTTCCAATAAGATGTGATCAATACTAAACTTGTCAAAGTTGGTGAAATAAGCGTTGTAATAGCCCCAGAACATTACAAAAAATTTTTTTTTGGTCAAAGTTGAGAAACTTACTATAGTGATTTTAATCTACTATTTTCAAACTTAGAGACCAGCAAATTTCAGAAAACGTTCTCCATTTAATATCCTTTTTATGGTGTAATTGCTTTTTTCAAAGATGAAGAAATTAATGAAGAAAGGTAAAAACCGTGATTGACGGATTGGTAAGGTGGAAAGATTAATAATTAAAAAAGAATAAATAAAAAAAACTTAAGGAAATTTTGAATGAATGAACTAAGAACGTTTTGAATTTTAAAACTTTTATTACTTGGAATAATAAATAATACAATGGGGGCGTCGGGGGCTCCAACGGTTTAGGCGTTGACGCGGCGCTCATCACTGTAAGGTAAAGGACTCGGGTTCGAATCCACCAGCGGCCCTGCATTCGAACCCGTCATACTTACAAATGGGCTTTTTTCAAAAACACCGGCACTCCGAGGGTTGATATAACCTCCTTGTTTAAAAAAAATAAAAAGTAAAAATAAAATAATAATAATTCAATAATCCTTTAATAAGTTGCAGTCGTGTTGGTAAATAAGTAAAAACTTGCACTATTTCGGTTTCGAACACAAATTAAAAAAGTTCATTCAAAATTTCCTTAAGTTATTTTATTTTTTTAATTATTCCACCTTATAAATCCGTCAACCGCGGTTTTTCCTTTCCTTCATCAATTTCTTCATCTTCGAAAAAAGTAATTAAAAATCAATTACACCACTAAAAAAGGATATTAAATGGAGTACGTTTTCTGAAATTTCCTGGTCTCTAGGTTTGAAAATAGTAGTTTAGGATCACTATAGTAAGTTTCTCAACTTTGAAAAAAAAATTTTTTTTTAATATTCCGGCTACTAAAACGCTTATTTCACCAACGTTTACAAGTTTAGTATTGGTCATATCTTATTGGAAATTTAATGAATGATATGAACGGATTTGTCCAAAATCTTTTAATTTTGGAGTTATCTTTGTTTATTTGAAGCAAGGTCGTGAAATCTTAAAAAATCAGAAAAAGGGAAATAACTACGTGACTGTCGAGATTCGGACCATAGTTGATTAAGATCTTTTGCGTCCATTTTGAATGTAGAATCTACTGGGAAAGTTTGTAACACGAGTAGCCGAACACCCTGTATAATGAAACGGAATTGAATTAAATTTATATATAGTGAAATATACGACTTATCCTCGTTGGTTTAGCCCCAGTTAAGACAAACGTGTAGGAATAGGTCGGATGAGGTTCCTCTAATCCCCTCTCGCTCGCTCAAAATGCACAATTAACCGTATCCCCTGGAGCCCTTCCATTTAACGAGCGATCATCGCTGTGTCAGCCGGCCCAACGGCGCATATTAGATAATTCCAAACTTGGCCCGGATCTCATGGGAACATAGTCCACCTTTTCTTCATCGCGGACTTGCCGAGCTGGAATTCGACTCAAACCAGTATTCGGCTTTCCATTAACATTCTGACTATTTCACCCCGATTAACCCAAATCGGTGTTTTTCATCCGCGGACTGAGTTGATAATTGAGGGATGTTATTAATTCATTATGCGCTTTTGGTACTGCATCAATGCAAAACGATGATTTCACCGACTTTGAAAATCATCTTAAGGCCTTAAGACGTTAATTAGAAAGATGATTGGCAAATATAGTTCGCTTTTATTAATTAACACCAGTGAAACTTTCAAATAATTTCAGTTAATGGATTAGACTGCCACGAAAGATAATAAGCTAATAAAGCTGACTTTTTTCTAGTTTACTTCGTTGCATTTCATAAGGTAACTAATCAGAAACGACTTGGCACAATGACAATTTCAACAAAATCATTTCTATTCATCTATGCAAATTCTCATTCGTTCTGATTTAAAATAACATGCTGATATTTTAATTAATATTTTTTGTATGTTTGCTCAATAAATAAACTTTAAAAAAGTGGTTAGAGCAGCGGCGTATTTAGCCGAAAGTCGTGGGTTCGAATCCCGCTCGTGACACTGACTTTTTTATCTCCACCAAGACGTTAGAAAGAATAATTAATTGATTGAAAGAAGTAACTTGGTCAATAGACTACGAAAACTTAAGTGGATTAATATTAAAACCAAAGTTGCTTATGCAAAATTTGCCTTATTTAAATAAGTTCACGCGAATCTAGCTTAACGTTATAAAGTGTATTTATGAGAAAGAATGAATTAAAAAAATCTTCTTATTAAGTCGTCAATTGCGTGATGGATTGCTGAGGATCTTGGGTGTTGAAATGAAAAAGTTAGTGTCACGAGCGGGATTCGAACCCACCCCCTTCGGTTTTATACGACGCTGCTCTACCACTTGAGCTGTCGTGACTTCGATCCACTCGGACACCAAGAATCCAATCCTGATTACACGACATTTGAAAAATAACAAAAAGGAGGATCGAAAGGTAGGTTGAGATGAGGAGTTGATGTCCGAGTGGATCGAAGTCACAGTAGCTCAAGTGGTAGAGTAGCGGCATATCTAGCCGAAGGTCGTGGGTTCGGATCCCGCTCGTGTCACTAACTTTTTCATATCAACCAAAACATTACATAAAAAAATTAAGTAAATAAAAAAAGGTTTTTATTTACTTAACAGGACAGTTAATCCAGCAGTAAATAGTTTGTGCTTGTGCACTATAAAAAGTAACATAAAGCTTATTTGTTATTATTATTCCCATCCCTTTGTTAAATAGATTATTGATTCGTTTAGCGTTGTTTTTAACATAGCACTTGTACAAAAACCACGAGATATCGTGATCGAAACATCTACGTCCCCTTTGTCTTCTCTTTTACGGTTTTTGTAAACTGAAGAATGATATGAATACGGTATTAGGTTCATTGCACGCTTTATTAATTTTTACCTTATGTTCAAGAGACGGCGTCCTTTTTTGTAGTAAATAATGACATATTCATTGACGGGATAAAGAACAGATTAATTAATATTTTAATGTATCTAATTGATCATATATTAGGTAATGGTGTAGCCTTGAGATCGTGACGAACTCTCTAAAGCACAAGCCGGCTCGTGTTTCCTGGCGCGCATGGTTAAGCAGCCTCTA